AAATCACAGTGTCGCTATAAAAATATTGGATCGTGCTACCAGATTTAAAGCATCATTACACAGATGAACTAAGACTTTTATACACAGGATTAGCTCCTAAATTAAAGCTCACAGTCGCCTGAATAAATATTGTAGTTCATTTTTTAGCAAGTATTTTTTTTATATTTCCTTGTAAAAACACTATTACATAAAAACTGCAGCACAGCGTGTGCCTCCTTATTATGATCTGCTCTAAGCATGTTGAACCCACGTGCAGGAAAATGATGGGAGACTCCAGGTAAAATAAGGATTTAAAGTAGGGATGCACAATATCATCAGCCAATGTTAGCGATAATTAAATATTGGACATTCCATCTAAATAACTCACCAATATAAAAGGCACTGTATGGTGCTGTTTTTGTATGACTTTCGAGTGTTGTCATTGTGTTAGAGAGAGTAAATGTCATAAATAAATTTGACATTAAATATAATCCAAGTTAAAGTCTTGCATCATTTTCAGCCCCCTTTTTGGCATCTGCATTTGGTAGCAGGCCAAACTGACAAAGATCATGCAGAATAATGTAGTAATTTAATTCCATAGCAGAAAAAGCTATGTAGTCTCTGTGAGTAGGTCTAGGAAAAAATATCAGTATCAGTTATCGGCCAGGGCAGCACGGTGGCGCAACTGGTAGAGCTGCTGCCTCTCAGCAAGCAGGTCCTTGGTTCAAACCCCAGTCCAGCGGCCTTTCTGGGTGGAGTTTGCATGTTCTTTCCGTGCATGCGTGGGTTTTCTCCGGGTACTCCGGTTTCCTCCCACAGACCAAAAACATGCATGTTAGGCTAATTGGTAACTCTAAATTGTCACTAGGTGTGAGTGAGAGACTGAATGTTTGTCTGTCTCTATGTGTCCCTGTGATGGACTTGCGACCCGTCCAGGGTGTACCCCGCCCCTCGCACAGTGATTGCTGGACATGGGCACCGGCGACCCCCGTGACCCAAAATGGAATAAGCGGGTAAAGAAAATGGATGGATGGATGGAGTTATCGGCCAAATAAGTTTTAACATATTGGCATATCAGATACGGGCCAAAAATCCAATATCGTGCATCCCTAATTTTAAAGTTTATTTTAAGTAAACAAGAAAAGTGTGGGGATTGTGGTCTGTTTCCTGGTGTTTAGCCCCATCTTGTGTTGTGTTTATGTCTTGTATTCTTCTTATCCCCATTTCTGTTTTCTATAGGGCTTGTGTTTTCCTAGTGTATGCCTCCATCTGGTGTTGTGTCTATGTACCTGAACTCCCTGGTATCCCAGTTTATCATTTCCCCTGATGTGTTTCAGCTGTGTGTCCTCAAAGGTGTGTTGTCTCGTTAGTCACTGTATGTAGTCTGCGTCTATGTGTTAGTCCTTTGTTCTGGCATTAAATGCTGTCCACTGGTGATGTCCCATATGCTTCTTGTGATTTCATGTAAGTTTTGCTGCACCAACAGCCTTTTTGATTTCTTGTTAATAAATACCTTATTTTATAATCTCCTGAGTCTGCTACTGCCTGCCTACACCATTGGGTTTACCTTCACCATCAGAGCAGAGCTTCATAATTTACATATCCTCAAGGAGCAATTTGAGATAAGTTGGCCTATCCAAGACCAAATGGGGGAGCCAGTTTCAAATAAACAATTGTTTTGGGACAGGCTGACTTCATAGTTTCTGCTGGTACACTCAATGGCGAATCCAAACAGTCAGATCCGTGGTCATTTCGCCGGTCCGTGCTTGTAGCCTTCTCCAAGGTCAATTCCTTCATGCCAGCAAGTTCTAGGAACTGCAAGTGGCCTGCGATTCTCAAAAATTGCATCCAGCTTAAGGTTTAGATCACAAAGCATCTGAGTCTGAGAGCTCGAAGCACAGTGCAATCCTTCATATAAGGCAGGCAGCCTCACCATTGCCAAAACTGCTGCTGATGTCTTCCTAATTTGTCCATATTCCAGGCACCTGCATGCCAATTCCAAAAAAAAAGAAAAAAAGCAGAAACCCTGTTATCATAAATCCAATTATGTACGCATCTTCAACATCCTCAACGGACAATACAGACAGACACATCATCTTCCATTCACCCCGGGAATCCATGATATGTTCAGCTGCATGTGTCCCATCAGGACAAGAGGGTTTTCCTGCACCCTGACTTCATATCAAGAAATTTTTTTCAGTTGCGTAGAGAGACCAGCTGACCAGATCCATGAAAATTTACAATTCGGAAGATGTGTAAAGAGAGGCTCTGAGAGATTCACAGGGCAAGAGCAAAAGCAGGAGGGAGGCAGGAGAGGGAAATGAAAGTGTCCGTCTTTGTCGAGAGCAAGTCATTAAAAAATTTTTTTTTAAAAAGGTTACATTTCAAATCATGACCAAAAACACAAAAGAATCACACCCTGCAGATCCACTGGCAGCTTCTTTATTGCAGCTACATGTTCTTGTTTTTTGTTTGTTTGTTTTGTTTTTATGTAACCAGTCAAAAAGTTTCCTTACTGCCTTTTGAGTCAATCTTGTGTCAAATCCAGGATTTGTTTGTTGTTTATAAAACAATTTTTCTTTATTTTTTATTGCTATAAGGATTGAATTTGTTTGAATTTAAACTTTACAAACTGCAACAAGACATACTTAAGATGAACAAAGATAGATGTAAAGCCACAACAAAAATATGACAAATACTAAAAAAAAGCATCCTTACCCAGCTGGATTTCACTGATGGATTACAAACAAGAACTTATAGCTGCAATAAAGAAGCTGATCCTGCAGGGTGTGATTCTTTTGTGTTTTTGGTCAAGGTTTGAAATGTAACCCGTTAGTTTTAAAGCTGCTCTGCTTCAGATGTTTCTGTGTCAACTTGTCCTCAAACTCATTAGATTTAAACCACTAGACAAGTTTATAAAACAGTTGATAATTGGAGAATTTATATTTATTTTTTATTTGTGAAAATGCTGAATGAAAGTTAAAAAATTTTTTTGTTTTGTTTGTTTTTTCCTGTTAAGCAATTATTGGGCTGGAACTATAAGATAAATGCATTGCAGCTAATTGTTTTGCATGACTTTCTGAAACTCTAATATGATTAACAATGTGCTTTAAAATTAAATTTAAATTAAAACAGATGTTTTGATTCATTATTTAGCTGTATGAGCATGAACAAGCCTTTCTGAGGATTTGTTGGATGGACTCTAGCATTCAGTTTGTCTCACATTATGTAGCTGTAAAGCTACATATAGTTTTTCTCAACACCTTGACTTTAGCAAAAGTCAAACCAACTCTTTATAAGCAGCAGTTTCTTTAATTAATCTGCATTAAGTGACACTTCACGTCTGAGCACAGCTAATTGACTTCTGGCATGCACAAGTGAGTGATGACCGTCTTCTTATCTAAAACTCCCTAGAAGAGATTTCTCAAAACCAATACACTGTTTATAATGTTTTCATTTACAAAGTAGAAAGCTAATTGGTGATTGCTAAAGATAGAACCAAGGATATTGTCTCTGGGACAGTTTTTACTCATTTTGCTCTGCAAACACTGTGTGCAAAGAAAAAACATGAGAAAATGTGTATTTAAAGACTTAGAGCTTGGATATATATAACCTGTGAGTTAATTTATGAGAAAATCTCAGCAACTAGATAAACAGTTGCTAATTGATATTTGGTTAAAAAATAATAATATTAACCTGTAAAATCTGTCATCTCCCACTCAGAGTAGGTTATTCCAATTAAAATGAGGTATATTTACCTAATGCAAAGCTTTTGGTTGCAAGTTATATTTTAAAATATTTTGCTTGTGTACTTGCATTCATTGCATCCCCACTGAGCAAATGCAAGGCAAAAATTTTACCAGAAATTTACCACTTATCTCAATATTTATTTTACAGCATGGCTTGTATTTTGTACCTCATCGCAGAAGAAAATGGTGAATTGGAAATACCCTCTGTCCGTCCATCACTCCAGCCATCTGCAAATGTTATGAGTGTGACAACTTGAAAATTAAGTGAGGTACCGACCTCCATTTTGGTGTATAACTGCATCTAGGTGCAAGAAAGTTGTTTTGTTTTTTTCTTGAAAATTGGGTTGCCATGACAACAACCATTCCAAGATGGCCACCACCATATACTACATAACGAGCATAGTTGAGGTGGTTCGGGCATCTGGTAAGGATGCTTCCTGGGCGCCTCCTAGGGAGGTGCTTCACCACGCATTCTGACTGGGAGGAGCCCTCAGGGAAGATCCAGGACTCTCGTTTGACCTGGGAACACCTTGGAATCCTCCCAGAAGACCTAGAAGAGGTGACTGTGGAGAGAGATGTCTGGGCCTCCCTGCTCAAACTGCTGCCCACACAGCCTGACTTCTATACAAGTGGAAGATGATGGATGGATGGATGGATGGATGGATGGATGGATGGATGGATGGAT